GCTATTCCTTCTCAGGTAATGGTGTAGCCCTCAGTTCTCCAATCGACTTCTTACGTGCTATTATTAATGTTCGTATTTGTATCCTTGTCTGGGGTACTCCAACATGTAATATATGTAATGTTTATGTGTGTGTGCGCGGGAGTATAAGGCATACGAAAAGTTTTATTCAGGAATTATTTCTTAAGTTATAACACAGGGTATAAAAATAATACTTCTAAAATTCCTAGTCTATATTTCGGTTAGAATGTAATATTCCTCAAAAGACAAAAATCAGAAGACAAAAAATGTGATGACTTCCAGTAGTCATATCCGATTTCGTTGCTTCTGGCATGACCTTAATCTTCCGCCGGCATATCCACTAGGTCACAGGGTACATAAGTTTGCATTGGTTACACGAACAGTGCCATGTATGCGGTCAGGTTCAGTTAGGAAAAATATTTAAAACCTTCGATTGTAGTTCACAGTTGAAACATTTTCTCTGATAATTTCTGTGATTATATGAGCAGAATTTTTTTGAGGACAAGATGCTGAGGAAAATATTTGGACTAGAGTGGAATGAAATAATAAAGAAGTTGGAGAAGCATAAAAAGTGAGAAACTTCACATCTTGCGTCCTTCGTCAAGTATAATTAGAATGATCAAGTTAAGGACAACGAGATGGACAGGGTATGTAGCACGCATGGGGGAGAGGATGAATGCATAGCAGGGTTTTCTTGAGAAAGCCAGAAGGAAAGAGACCACTAGGAAAACCTACCGCAGGTATGAATATAATATTAGGATAGATTTTTGAGAAGTATCTGCAGAATTGGCTACTCCTCCAGAAGGGCTAGGTTCCATGAGTAAGTAAGTAAGTAAGTAAGAATGGCGTGGTATGGACTGGTATCATCTCGCTCACGATAGGGTCCAGTGGAGGGCTCTTGCGAATATGGTTATGGATTTTCGGGTTTCGTAAAATGTTGCAAGATACTTGAGTAGCTGAGTAACTGGCGTTTTCTCAAGAAGGCCTCATCTCCGTGGAGTTAATGTGAGTAGGAAGTAAAGTTACTTAAAATGCCAACCGAGTTGTGTGCCAGAACAAGCTCTGACTTTGACCTTCCGCTTGTGACACAATTTGCGATTGTTTTCTGAGCTGACAAATTACCTCCTTGACAGTGACATGGACTCCTTCGTAACCACGCAGGGGGTTCCTGCTTTTTTAAGGCCACGTGTCAGATTTTATATTGCGGAAGTCGTTCAAAGTATAGTCGTAGCTTTTAGGTTACACCTCTCAATTCGACAGTCTCTCAGTATCACAGAGTTTCATATTTCTTAACATTTTAGACATCGTAAGAGTCCAGAGGGCTGATAGCTTGTGAGATGTCTCACCCTGAGAGGTCGGCAACGGGTAAGAAGTGACATAAGACGCACGGTGTCATAAACCTACGCATTTCGTGTCTGGATTGAACTGCTAACGCGGCCAATCACATGTATTATATTTTATTTATATTATATTATCTTTTATAACATTTTGGTAGTTTTGTGTGTTTTTACGAGTATTATTAAGTAACACGAATTGATTCTCTTGTATGAAATTATTTACTTTTGTGTGTAATCTTCTGTTGTGAATATAAATATAGTGTCTCCTTCATCTGCTTTGTTATGGTGAGTTCATTTTCTACTAACTCATTTCTTATTAGCTTCCATTCTATTCCACTTCTTGCATTATTGACGTTATCATTTTGGTTAATATTTTAGTTATTTTTGCTACCATATGTCTGTAATATTATGTTGAATTACAGTGCTATCTTGTGACAGCTTCCGGAAATCATTCTGCCGCACAGGTGGAGCAGGCAGTCAATTCTGGCATAAAGCCAAGCCAAATGCAGATTCGACAAGCCAAGAACCTATACGCTTACATTTCACAATTTGTTTCCAATATCTTCCCATCAGATCGTTGAGAGACTACTATGAAGCAGTCTCATGCATTATGTACCCGGCAGATGTAATCTGGAGCCCCTGATATCTGATAAACATTAAATTACTTACATTTCTTCTTATATCGAAATTCCACATACGAATTACACATCGGGACAAGCGATCATGTATGACGCATTTTTGGAAATTTGTGTAAGAAAATTTAGGAGAGAATTCCCTTGTAAAATCTCGCTTTTTCACAAGGAGTCCCAATCCTCAGACCTTGAGTTTATTAGCCCAACAAAAAATATGTTTCTTTACTCTCTGCTACTAGATCACTGCTATGTATTATCCGTAATATCTTTCGATAACAGCCAAATTGTGGTGTCCAAAGCGACGCCCACAGTTTCAATCCTCATGAATTAATACCAGCTACAAGATTTTGCATGATTTCAGGATGGAAAAGAAAGGTCATCCCTGCAACGAACCAATCATAAATCTCCCAAAAATTGTAACAATGCTGCGGGAGATTATGATAAGGGTCCGCTGACAAAATGCTGAACGATTTGGTTACAGATAGTTCTAATTCTGCCTGCTAGGTGGATCTGTCAACAGTAGCTTCTCTGTAAGTAGCTTAGTTCTTTTGCATGAAAAAAAGCTTATTTTGAATATTTTCTTTAAACTTGCACTTTGTATTCTTTTTTAATATTGGCTGTTACAATTTTATAACCGGATTACGAGTATACGAAGCCCCAGTCATAATGTTTTTTTTTTCAGATAGATTCAAACAATATGTGGACACTAGTTTGCTCTTTTCAATAGGTTCACTGCGTATTAGTGACACAGAAGCACTGACAAAATTTGAAAGTTACTTCTCGATTTAATGAGCGAATTATGCTTTTCTAATTATCTCTAGTGATTTGTTTGGCAAATTGAAAATATTAATACATTTTATTTGCAAATTTTGAAAAAATACAAATTCCGAAAAATTCGGCAAGAATCACGTATGTGTTTAAAAATTGTCTTGAATTATGCGAGGTGTTCAGGAAAGCATCCTCGCATGAAACGCGACAACCCTGTACTCTGGACTGAACATCTCTATTTGTGGGGACATAAATCTTCAATAGGATACCATATGGGTTAGCAGGGTGTTTCATCAGAAGGACTTCAGGCATGTATATATATATATACATACGCGTTTGTGTGTCTGTGCGAGGGTGTGGAAGTATTATGTCTATATTTGCTTTAATATAAAATCGATGCCATCTTTGGTTCTAGCTCGAAAGGACTGTGGTTCACTTGACAGTTCGAAAGGTATTCCTGTAGTTTAATATATTTAACTACGAGTACATAGAAAACTTGTAAATGAACTAGAGTTTACATACTTTCATATCAAATAGGCATTTCATAGGCACATAGTATAATATAATATACATTATGTCATTTAAACATGTACCATACTCAGACCTGACCAACTGTGTGCCATGACGTGGCAGCAACATCCTTGCCTGCCTTTCCTGTTAGAGAGCCATAGAAATGGAACGCACGTAAATATTCTCACAATAGAACCGCAGGAATTAACACTAGAAATAAGACATTCACTTTCGTTCTTCTTTCTCTGTAGCACTTGCTTTTTTTGTAAATATTCTATCAATATAATTAGTAGATTCTCGGCTGTCCGAGGTGATCGGAACCAGTTCTCTCCATCAGATACGTAAGTTTTTTTTAGAACTATTGCAATTTAGCCGTTGACTTTAGAGTAGACTGCACGCATAACTACGAAGATTTCGTGTGCTTTTTTTCGGAAATATCATTAACAGTAAGCTGTCTCAATTTTCTTTGAAAACGTTTTATTCTTTTATAGAATTCATTACAAATCCATGTAGTTAATGACATGGTGAATAATCACATTTCCCTAAAACATATTAAAGTCTATTCCATGACAGTTTTATATACTTCATAACATTCTTCTAAATTTCTTTACATCTCCACTTTTATTTCATCATTTCCCCTTGCGTTCACCGTACGCAGTTGATTCATCGCTGAAAAAGACCATTAGTGGTACTAAGGTAGAAAAAGTAAAGCTATCCCTGTAACAGGCCGTGAAGGCCGCGCCATAGCTCAAGCGGTTAGTCGCTGGCTTCCCACCGCGGCGGTCCGGCTTCAAACCCTGGTCTGGTCAAGTGGGATTTGTGGTGGACAAAGTGGCACTGGGGTAGGTTTTCTCCGAGTACTTCGGTTTCCCCTGCCAATCTTCATTACACTAAATTCTCCATCATCATAATCAACCGGAGCGGGTACAATAGGCCAATCAGTGGCCGCCCTGCCGAGTGGCCCCAACTGGATTCCACCCCCAACTATGCAAATTAAAAAAAAACAGGCCGTGAAGGCCCATGGGGTTGTGAGCTGTCGAGGCTCCCACATTTTCTAGATAAACGGCTCACAGATGGCGATAATGTTGTCAGCCTTACGCGCAGGTCACCCTTTATCCCCCAGGGGTACTCATTTCTGTTAGAGGCTCACTCGATCCGAGGACCATAGTGCGGCTGGAAGGATTAGGTAAATTGAAAAAATCCAATGACCTCATATGGATTCGAATCTGCGACCTTCCGGCTTGTAGCATAGTGTCTCAACTAACTACGCTACTGACATGGCTCCATAGTGCACTTAACTGCAAAATCACTGCTAGAGACCTGTTACATTTACTCTGTCATACTATATCATAGAAAATAAAAATTATACTCTTAAATCCTTGATTATTTCTGNGTTCGTTCTTTCGAGAACTGATTTGAAAATATTGATTTCGGAAGAACGTTCAGAAAACTTTGCAGCAAATTCGTGCGTCATATGTAAAAATTGCATTCAGTCTAACACCACGAAAAGAAATGCAAACATTATATGAGTTCAAAAAATATAACGATCCTATTAGACAGCGACCCAACGCCGAAGTCCGAAGATTCAGTCTCGGTATCCCCTCTCTCCTGAGCCTAATTTCGTGTCACGAATCAGGCGACTTGCGGTTGTCCCCTCTGACGAAACTCGGAGAGTCGAGACTCATGTAGCAGCACTGCGCGTGTGTATGCGAGTCCTGACTCACTCGTACAACAGCTCCCCCATGTGTTGCAGGGAAGGTGGATGAGAAGGCAACTCAACTTCACGCCATCGCGTCTCTCAAAGTTCTGTTGGACGCTACAAAACCTCACAATGGAGCGGCCACGACGTCGGCAGCCAATCACGTCAGTGTAGCCCAGAGGCTCGAGAATGAGAAAAACCAAGAGACGCAGCTCGCAGCCATGCAGGAGCAACCCAACGGCGTCGCCAGTGGCCTCGAAGACTCGGCGGCTGTCGACACCGTGAGTATTACTAACTTTGTTACCATAGGAAACAGGCCCAGAAAATCAAGAAGCGATAGCTGGAATTATTAGCAGTTGTCGGAACATGCAACTCTGGTTATGAACTTCGTTTTAACAAATTGTATTAGATTCATATCCTCACATATTTCTTGCTAATATTAACTCCCATGGTCATGATTTAATGAGGGCTCTTTCTTCGCCCTTTCGACGCCAGCACACTTACATAAACCCCGCGCGTCCTGCGTAAAGTACATTCAAGGATTTGATATCAATTCAGTCGATGATAGAAGAATTCTCAGGTCTGTTTGGTCACGAAACCTATGACTTATCTACTTAACCTTTCACCCTGTTTAGTGCAATAGAACTCATTTCGCGACTTACACATTTTCACGGAGAAGGAAAACAATGCTTTAATGGTCTTATGACGAACTGGTTAGCCCACAAAGAGCTTTGTGTGTTTCCTAGAAATTACTCTTTTCCTCATAATTAGTAAAATGAATCTAATTCTCCTTTTAGAAATATTCACGTCGAAAAGGGATTATTAGATTATTTTTTATAAAAACTGATTTGTTTGATTTTCCAAAAGCAACTTTTTAATTGTGTAAAATAGATTTGCCTCCAATTGGTTTTCGTTGCATGACAAGAAATAATCTAAACCCAAGGATATTAAAGGGAATATGAACATTAAAATTTAGCCCAATTAACGGAGAGCGGAAGTGTAAGAATTCCAAGATTTTCAGTCCCGTTCTTCTTCCGGAGATACGTATCTCCACATCATGTTCTTCTGTCATGAATACCGACTCGGAATTATTTCTGGCAAGTGGTAATGTCTGTAACGTTCGTATTAACTGTTATTTGAGCACGAATTTATCTCCTCTCTCATTACCACGATGGCGATTTTTACTGTCATTGTGTTGTCTAGTTTATGTGGTATGTTTTGCTGTGTGGTTTATACTCTAAAAATTATCTACTCTAAAATATCTAAAAATTATATTGGTAACGATGAAAGGGATGGCGAATTTCGAACAATACGAATTTTCTCTCATTTTTTTTTTGTTGGCTTTCATTGGTTCTGAGTAAAGGTAATAAATACATGAAGTTTAACCTGACTGCTTTGTTTGTAGAACGCACCACAGAAGAACAATCAATGAGTGATATGATTCTTTTTATCAGAAAGCGGGGGAACTCGTGAAATTTACGGAAGAACGCAAGTTCTGTATGGCGATAAATATATGAGTTAGACGAAAGTTTAGTTTTGATTAAAATGTTGAAATCAGTAGATAGGAGTTTTGTTATTGATGTGTATCACTGTAAACATGCTTTCAGATTAAGGAACATGCAGTATATTGTCGTATTCGGGACAACCAGAGGAGTAACACTGACGCAATTACATTAGCAGCGAGCACGACTGAGTGAAAGGGTAGTTTAAAATTGAACTGCACATATTCTAACGTGGATGGCCAGAGCGTTGCTAGCTAACAGACCTGTAAACACACGCGATACTCTCTCGCAACAATGGAACAACGAGGTTACGGAACCCGCTTCTACGCAACGGCTCAGTAAACAGACTTCCACGCAGGCGCAATGACATCACAATACAACAGTACTATCACGTGACTTGTCTGTGTTGTCAGTGCGGCGCCTATATTATGAATATCTGTTTAAGGTTAAGTCAGACGCCCTTGTGGAGGCGGGGTCGAATACCTCCACCGTGACCTGCGAGTCGTAGGAGGCGACAAAAAGGGAAGTCTCAAATCTGAGACAGTAAAATATAGTCGCGAGTACCTAGGGACTCGGACATAAGAAAGCCTGTGCTGGCAAGGACCAACAGCATATACACGGGATGGACAAAAATATAGAAACACCCAACAAAAAACACATTACCGTGACTAAAATGGTATTGGACAACCTCTGGCTTGAAGAACTGCTTGCAGTCTCATTGGAATGGATAAATAGAGGTCCTGTATGATTTGCAAGGGAATCTTGTACCATTCTTCCTGCAAAACATTGGCAAGTTCTGTTATCGACGATGGAGGTGGATAGCGCGCACGCAGATTGCTCTCCAAAACAGACCACAAAGGCTAATAATATTGATATCTGGCGATTGTGGGGGCCATGGAAGATGTGTCACTTCATCTTAGTGCTCAGAAAACCAGTCCTGGACGATGTGAGCTGTGTGAACACGGGCACTGTTGGCTTGGTAAATGGCATCACCACTGGGGAACAAAGTTTGTACCATGGGATGGACCTGGTCACCCAAAATGGTCACATAGTCGTTGGCAGTGACGTGACCTTGCAGGGTAATGATGGGTCCGACAGAATACCACGATATGGCTGCCCATATCGAGCCCCCGCCATGTTTCACTCTTGGCAGCAAACAACCCGGATCGTAAGCTTGGGATGGCGTTCTTCAGACGTAAATTCGGCCAGAAGTCGGAAACAGTGTGAAGGTGGACTCATCCGACCAAACGACCGCCTTCCATTGCTCCAAAGTCCAGGTTTTATGACTTCGGCACCACACTGTCCTCTTAGTGGCATTTTGATCACTGATGAGTGGCTTTGGAATTGCAGCTCGTCCAGAAATACCCTGCTCGTGGGGTTCCCTTCGTACTGTTTTGGTGCTGACAGGGTTTGTGAGCGTGACATTCAGTTCAGCAGTCACTTTTGCAGCTATAGTCTTCTTATTTTTCGTCACAATCCTCCGCAATGTTCGTCTGTCTCGGTCACTCAAGACACATTTCCATCCACGCTGGTATTTATCGGATGCGGTTTTTCTAGTCATCCTGTGTGCGGTCTTAATCTTGGATACTGTGCCTCGCGATACACCAAAAACCTCGTTACCTTGTTTACGGAAGCACCCACCGTATGGGCCCCAACAATTTGTCCGCGTTCCAATTGTGTTAGCTCTGACGTGATGCACGAGAAACTGCACAGAACACTGTCTCGACAACAGACGAAGCTTGCAACGTATTGCGGAGGTTGTACAGGTAGTGGTGTTGGGCAGATACGTCAGCGTCACCTACAAACGTCGCTAAAATAAACACTTCAATTCAGGCATGCATTTCACGAGGTGTTTCCATATTTTTGTCCATCTCCTCTACATAAGACAGACCTGTCCTCTCATCAGAGAGGACGCCCCACAGAAAACAAGACTGTGACTGTCAAACAGCAATAGGCCGCGCCATAGCTCAAGCGGTTAGTCGCTGGCTTCCCACCGCGGCGGCCCAAGTTCGATCCCGGGTCTGGTCAAGTGGGATTTGTGGTGGACAAAGTGGGGCTGGGGCAGGCTTTCTCCGAGTACTTTGGTTTCCCCTGCCAATCTTCATTCCACCAATTGCTCCACAATCACCCTCACCTATCATCTGGGGCTGGTACAATAGGCCAGAAGTGGCCGTAGTACAAGGGGCTTAGTCCCACCCCACTAGCAACAAAATAACAGCAATAAATATCTGGTGATGAGCCCCAGATGGGACTCGACACCAAGACTTAGTGACTGACTGGCCGTTAGTCTCAATGTGACTTTGACGTTGACATTAGTTAAGTCAGGAAGTGTGAGGAGAGTTCAGGAGAGCTCAAGACAGTTAAGAGACTAGTAAAGAGCGCTTACAAAAGAAGTGAATAGAAGACTGGCGTGTTAAAGTGACACAACTATTTGTAGTTACGACTATTGAATATCAAATAAACCGATTCACCATTCCAAACCCGCGTCTTAGTCACTAATACACGTGACAATTTATTCTGGTGAAATCAGGAAATGTGTGGACCGTTGGTCCAGTCGCACCGAAGAATAAGAAAATGGAATATGTCTGTCTACCATGCGTTTATGTTTTCAAAACATATGAAGGATCTTCGTTCATATTTCATGTTAACTTTGATTTCAGTTTTATAATTTAAGTTGAAGTCTTTAATTGATGTTTAAGGCCACAATGAATAAAATTAAAATTATTATTGACACTGAAGAAAGTTAAATTGTAAACAAAGTTATTTGTTCATTTTTACTTTCATAAAATATTTCTGAGACCTCGTTTTTAAAGTAAACTTTATAAATTAATTAAAGATCTCCTTCTCTAACCATTTTAACAGCAATATTTAAACCCAACGGTGCAGTGTTTTCTTGTTGCGTACAATCTTTCCTTTTGAATGCGCGGTACACCAAGGCAAGAAATATAAAATTGAGTCCGTCCTTTTCTGATTTTTCTTCGAACCTTATGTCTTTGTTCAGTCACTAGCAGAGATCGAACATAATTCTCGTCTGTGTCTCCTAGTTAGCAAGAGAGGCGCTCTGCTTCAACAGATAAATGGATCCTAGCAGTATCGTTACATCCGCGAGGCTGACTACATTACGTTCATCTTAATGTACACGCATGTTGTGTTCCTTAATGCCTTGCAACTCATAGCAGCTTACGTTTCCCTATATTAAACGCCTCATCATGTAACTTCACTAATTTTTTAAAATTTTTAATTATATGTATAAAACTGCATAATGAGGAGATTCATAACTTGTACTCTTCTCCAAGTATAATTAGAATGATCAAGTCAAGGAGGATGAGGTGGGCACGGAATGTAGTACGAATGAGGTGGAAGAGAAATGCATATAGGATATTGGTGAGAAAGCCAGAAGGAAAGAGACCACTGGAGGACCAAGACGTAAGTGGGTGAACAATATTACAATTGATCTTAGAGTGATAAGTTTGGATGATATGAATTTGATTGATCTGGCTCAGGATAAGGACCACTGGAATGCTCTTATGAATAAGGTAATGAACCTTCGTGTTCCATAAAATGCTGAGAAATTCATGAGTAACTGCAGAATTGGCGGATCCTCAAAGAAGGGATGAGCTCCGTAAGTAAGCAAGTAATTGTATGCATAGGAACAAGTAGAATTAGGATTAAATTACATCAAATGCAACAATGTTTTAATAACAAAATGAAGCTTTACGTGTTTCGGCCAGTGTTATCAGTTATAGGAAGGCGACCATTCCTTCGAAGGAAGTGCTTCA